ATCTATAAAATAATAATTGAACAGAAACATTCATGTATAAAATAATAATTGAACAGAAACATTCTTGTATAAAATAATAATTGAACAGAAACATTCATCTATAAAATAATAATTAACAGAAACATTCATCTATAAAATAATAATTGAACATTATTTATCTGAGGAGCAGCTTTGAGTTTAACTCTCATCTTGAACAAGCATGAAGGCGACAGTGGAAAGAAAAACTCCCTCATGAGGAAGAAACCTTTAGCAGAACCAGGATCAGGACAAGAGGACCATCTGCTTCGACCTGCTGGGTTTGGTAAGAATAGATACACAATGGCAGGTCAAGAATCACATGTTAAGATAGAAATAGTATCAAATGAAAACTATTCAATTTTAACAATTCATTTAAGAAATGAGGTCAGTTTGTCCTCTAGTAGTCTAAGTCTATAGCAGCATAACAAGCCAACCCTAACTATAGGATTTATCAAGAAAGAAAGTCTTAAACTGGACAATGTGTCAGTCTCATGGACAGAAACTGGAAGTTGGTTCCACAAGAGAGGAGCCTGAGAACTGGAAGATCTTCCTCCCATTCTGCTGCTGGAAACTCTAGGAACCACAAGTAAACCTGCAGTCTGAGAGTGAAGTGCTCTGTTAGTAAAATATGGAACAATAAGATCTGTAATATAAGATGGAGCTAGGTTGTTGAGGGCTTTGTAGGTTAGAAGTAAGATTTTGAATTCTATTCTGGATTTGACAGGGAGCCAATGGAGAGAAGCTGAAACTGGAGAGAGATGATCTCTCCCAGTAACTCCAGTTAAGACTCTGGCAGCAGCATTTTGGATCAACTGAAGACGTTTTAAAGTATTTGTCCAGAATCACATGTGAGATAGTTTACCTTTACTACAACTTCCTGTTTCATAGACCCCGCCCACTGACTGTTACCATGGTAACCAGGTCTTCAACCAGTTTTTCTTACAAGAAATATTTGGAATCTTTTTATTTAAGAAACTTTTCTCTGACATTAAGCAGGTTTTCTACGTCACGTTTCCTGTTTCCTCCAAAATAAATGCTTTAACTCCTGGCCTGCAAGATCAAGTTAAAAATATTTTACTGACACTTCTTTTTCATTCTAACTGAAGACAGCTCGTGTCCATCATCACTGCAACGATGACGTCACTGTAGTTCATAACACAAACAGGAAGCAACGGTTTTAACAGGAAATTAAATAATTTCATAAAAATAAAAAAAAACTTAAGGCGGAACTGAACTAAACCTGGACCTGGATCAGAGAACCGAACCGGACCGAGCCCCCTCCGCAGCTCGTCCAGCTGCTCCAACAGAACCTTCTCCACCAGAACCAGGATGTCCTCCGCCGCCGACACCAGGCGCTGCGTCACCAGAACCCGCAGCTGCTGCAGGCCCGACATGTTGGAGCTGGGTCCGGTTCGGTTCTTGCAGGAGAGGAGCGGAAACAGCTGGCAGCGGAAGTCCCGCTCACTCTTCACAATAAAAGCTCAAGGAGCCGCTTACATGAAAGTTATTTGGTTCCGTCCAGAACTTTGTGTTGGACTCTACAGAACATCTGGATCTGTTCTACAGTTATTTAAAAAGTCAAAGTCTGCTTCAAAAGGCTGTAAAGAAATTAACAAAAGTTAAGTCAGATCTCTGGCTGGATTAAAATGTAGAAACGTTTCGTCTCTCATCCTGAGGACTTCCTCAGTCTGAGGTGCTGTATTCAGCTCAGTCTCTTAAATAGCACCTTCTCAGAGTGGATCAACTAGTTTGCTGCTGACAACCAGAACCAGCTGATCACATGATCAAGAAGGACCATCAGCCTAACAATGGATCATTAGCACCTGATGGCTGTTTACTGTTCACAGAGGGCTGAGTGATACCAGCAATCACAGCATTGTAAGAGGGGGACAGTTGAACCCGGAGGCTCCACCCCTGTTTAATGATGGACGGTTTCTTTTCACAAAGATGGCCTCCTTTACTCCTTTCTCAAACCATCGTTCCTCTCTGTCCAGGATGTGAACATCTTCATCCCTGAAAGAGTGACCGCTGGCCTGGAGATGAGTGTAGACCTCAGAGTCCTGGCCTGATGATGTTGATCTTCTGTGCTGGGCCATCCTTTTGGCCAGTGGCTGTTTAGTTTCCCCGATGTAAGACTGATCACCCTCCTGACACTGAACAACATACACAACATTACTCTGTTTGTGCCGGGGGACTGGATCTTTGGGATGAACCAGTCTTTAATGTATTTTGGGGTTTAAAAGCCACTGGGACGTTATGTTTAGAAA